TTCACATTTTTAAGTTTTTTTACAGTCTACTCTAGAATAGAATTACCAGAAACAGAACAGACCAAGGCAGAATCTACAAAAACTGAAGAGAAGGCAGCATTTTCTCTGATTACAGAGAGACCTTTGATCACCAAGGTCACATAAACCAGGCACACAGAGCACGCCAGTCATTAACAGCCATGGGACGGGCACTGGGTTGTCTCCCTGCCCTCCTCCCATCACACTCCATTGCTCATTTACCCCCAGCCCTGCCCTAAACAACCATAAAGGCCGTGGCTAAGCTGGAGGAATTGCCAGGCAGCACCGCCTGCTTCCAAATCCTGGCTCAGCTGCATCCTGCCTTTCCCCACGGAGCAGCCAGAGCCTGCCAGCAGCATTTCCTACCACCCTGTAAAAGGACTCCCTGCCCACCAAGCATGGCCAAGGACAGTGGAAAACAAATGGAACAACATAAGAGAAGTCAACATTTGAGGTTCATGAGGCAGAAAACAGATGCCCAGGGCAAGGAGACACTCAGATCTTCCCTCTGCTGTGCCATGGCCAACCACTCAGACTTGCCTAAGAAGGTTGGATTTTCCAAGAGGCAGTGGGGGAATGAGATCACCACACCAGATACCAGTCAGCCTCTTGCCCTCAATGTTTCTTCTGCTTTATACAAGGAGGGGGAAGTGTGCAGTTCAGGTCTGGACAGACAGGACTGAGCTGGAGGCTATGGGGCAGTCTCCTGGCCACTGGACATCCCTGCAGCACCTGAGCTGAGACATTAATCTTACAGTGGCAGCCTAATGCATTGGCTGTGGACTGGAGTTTTCAACTGTTTCAGGTCCTTCACACTTAAACTTTGACCAACATCTATGATAATTACGTGGCTGGCAATCAGACATCTGGCTCTACAACCTTCCAACAGTGGTCACCTTAGCACTTTTGGATTAATTAGCAGCAAACAGATTTTTCGAGGCATTTTATAGCTGAAGGGCTTCCTGTGTCTGCCAATACCCCAGAAATCAAGACACAGATGTGTTGTGTACAGTTTTCAGACTGATGAAAAGAAGACTATTTTTAATCCAAGCCTACGTAGGGTGGAGCTCAGTCTCCAACCAGGCCAAAAAGCCACTATAATCCACAAGACCAATGCCTGGCAATCTTTGCTTGCAGGCTGATGTCTGTTCTATTTTGGGGATGGGAGGAATTTAGAATAAAAAGATATATAAATTAAAAACAAAGGAGGCTATGAAAAGTGAATAGAGGGAAGGGCCAGACTTATCCTGTGTATTTTGGTCTAAAGAACAGGGCTCTAAAAGAACACAAATCAGAATTACTCCATTTTCCATTTCCCACAGTAGCTGGTAATTTATAACATGGGCTGAGGAGAGTACAGCCCCAGTGTATTTTTTACAGGAGGAAAAGCCAATCCACGGCTCCTTGCACAGCAGAGAGACCCTTGGGAGGACGAGGCAGGAAAACAGTCACCAGCCACAGACATACCACAGGATCCCATACAAGACCAGTACAACAGCTGGTGGGACACTTCACTGTTTTGTGCAGTTGGGACTGCAAAAAAGGCAAAGCAGAGGATTGGAAAAGAAGGCCAGTTTTGCTTATTTAGGGCTTATGGCCAACAGGCAACCAACGTGCTAAAAGCAGAAATTTTTGCTGTACTCTCAGCACCTCAGTAAATCTAAGATCACAGGGACTTCAGACATAACATACCACTAGGTTTTATATTGTTACAAACTCTGTCTTAATTTGGCATTCAAGCCAATTCAACACATCCATTTACTTTGCCACATTAGCCCCACATTCCTTGCAATGCACAGGTTATTTATCTAAAAGCAGATACAGATAGCCTCTCTCACTGTCTTCAGGTGCCCCTTTACCACCCATCCATAAACTGTGAAACACATGCATAGGCATCAGCATCTCTACAGCTCCTTCACCTGGCCAGGGCTGGATCATTAACCCAACTACAGAAGTCTAAAATGACTTCTCTTGGCAGAAAAGGACAGGATGGTACACTGGGATAAGTGGAGGACCAACAATGATGAACCTCAAGCACTGCTATCACTTTGGTCACAGACTTATTTAGAAAAAAGCCAACATCTAAGCAACATCGTGAAGTTTAACCCAAACATTACAAGCATAGCATGAACACCTCCACACATGATCATCAACAACTTCATCCTTCCTTGCTCTGCATATAAGTGACCTCATTAACTACCTCCTCTCACATACATCACTAAGGGGAGTATGTGATAAGGAAACAGTGAATGAGACAGTTAAGTCCATTGTCAGGTTTAAAAAGAAAAAACAGAAAAGCTTACTTAAAACACCAGTAATTAGGCCTCCTGCAGAGACACTACATTTTATCTTCTCTTGAAGATCAGAGTAATAGTCTCTCTTCCCAGCTATTCAGTGGGGACTCCCAACAGCATCTGTGAGCTGTCACTCTTTTTACAGGAACAAAAAACCTACTGAAGCGGCAGGAAAAACAGCTGTAAGTATTTCAGAGAAGGAAATGAGACAAGGAGACTTGTTAGAAGCATATGGCCCATCCGGATTGACATGAGCAATCCGCAGCAGTCCTAACCAGAGCTTCCCATTTCAGACAGTGATCCTGCTCCCCACATCCTCAGACATGTCAAATCAATCATTATTTTATTTCTTCCATACTAGCTCTCAAATGTTTGCAGTGCACAGGCCACCACAGCCCATGAGGACAGCCCGGATGTTGCAGGAGGAGTCAATTTGCCCCCAGGAATGTATACATTGCCCAGCCAGCACAGAGGGACACAGGGAAGGGGACCTAAGGCAAGCAGCCCACCTGCCAGGGATGCTGCATTGCATGGGCAGAGTCACCCTCAGCTCAGCTGCTGAAAGGCAGAGACAAACTAACAGGAATCAGCTGGCAAAACAAACAAAAGGGAAAGAATAACTGTGGATAGCTCCATCTCTGCTGGCACGGAAGCCCCCTTTTCATCATCATGCCACCCACAAACCCAGTGCAAAACTAGCTTTAAGTAGCCCAGGCATGAACCCACAAACCCAGAGAGGAAACCTTAGCTGTTAGAGGAGTACACGTGATATAATTCTTCCAAGCAGGCCAGACAGGACTTGCTTATCATCTTTGGCATTTTAAATTTATTACCAAAAAAAGCCAACAGATTATAGATTCCCAGGAGACCAGCAGATGCCACAGTAACTGAGTGGACTGCCTGGCCACCACAGTCAGCACCCTGCCCAGGGAAGTCCACACCCCTGATGGGAACACAATTGCTGGGAGAAGGTAGAGCAGCCAAGCAAACAGTCCTGATGCCAGGGCAGCTGCTGGTCAGCACTGATGTCAATCGTGGTCAGCACTGATGTCACATATGCCCACCACGGGGGAGAGCTCTGTCACCTCCAATGCCACCATCTCCAGATCAAACAGCATGGCACTAACAGAGTACAGATGTGCATGTTTTCTCCTCCCAGTCCACTCTCCAGCCCTATTAGGTGGGGACTTCTGTCTTCAGCTCCATCAAATAACCACATTTTCTTGTTCAGCTGGTACAGACTGCTCTTTACATGGCTGGCAAGATCACACAGGAACACACCAAACACCTGAAATCTCAAACACAGCACCTGCTGCGCCATTTGGGCTCTGCAGCCACAAAACACATAACTCCCATTTTTTGGCTATAATCAAATCATCTCCTCAATCCACAGTTAAAAGAGTGGGTTTCCATCACCCTCCCCAGGCAGCATGTCCCCAGTGTCACAGCACACCCACCCCAGGTGTGCCAGTGCCATTTGCCAGTGAAGATGGGGTGGACTAGGGGCTGCAGCACAGCGAGATGAGGAAGGAGGATTTCTGACAGCCAGGATCCCCTGTCCCCACGCTGATGGCACAGCGTGGCAATGCCACCCAGTTAAAGCAGAGGAAATCTACACCTTCATCCTTTCACTTGGGAAGTATCTGCACAAACCAGAAGACTTCAGAGACTGTTCTGCAGTGCTCCAAGTGGATCTCACAACACATGGAAAGGTGCTCTCCAAGATTCCGCTTCAGAGAAACTTGACCTAGAAGCAGGAAGGATATCCAGGGCAGGAAACACTAGCAAGGACAGGACAGGCTTGACCCATCACCTACAACTTCAGCATTGAAGAGCACAAAGTAGGCAGCTGCTAAGACTGAAGCTGAATTAATGCTGCTGTGTCTAAACACTACCGACCTCATACTTACTCCCTGCACAGACCACACTGGAGATACCTATTTTTAATTCAATAAATCCAAAAGAGACAGTACGCCCACAGGCACACCCAAAGCCCTGTGTACAGAGCAAGGGACACAACAGTAGTTCATTCACGACCAGCAGTCACACGGCTGAAAGTGATTACAGCAGCCCAGTCACTGTCAGCAGAGCTGCTGCTGCTCAGAGGATCTCCAGGATGTCCCCTGAACACCCCTTCCCCCAGCCACAGCACCTAGGGCCCAGATATTGGACCATCACCCAACTGCCTGCAGCTTTCACCCTTCCTACCTACTTACCCACCAGCGGCAAGAGCAGCAGGGTTAGAAAAGAGCTTGAATGGTGCAAGCAGGGACAGCTGATTCTGCGTAAGAGTCTGAGCAATTCTCTGGGAGGGTCACAGGGGAAACAGCCCTTTCATGCCCTCCCCTACCAGCAGTGCTGCAGGCAGAGCTCTGCCAAGACACTACCCACCACAAACACAACCACTGCTGCTTGTGCAATTATCCAATTCCCAAAGTGCCAATAGGAATGTATGTGCAAAGATGTCAACAGATGCCTATCAGGAGGCTTGGGGGCTACGGATAGGTGATGTTGTGACATTTGTTATAGTAACCCAACAGATACTGGTTTAATTCAAACTTGCATCACCCTCATTACAAGAGCTGATCTCGGTTTTGCAACATGCTTGAAAAGAAAAGATATTCAGGAATGTTTTGCCTTGTGTATGCATTAAGGCTATTTGAGAAACTTTTTAAATTCAGTACCCACCTTTCACACATCTGCTGGTAGGGGTTTCTGAATTCATGTCTGGCTTTTTTGATGTAATCAGCAACTCTAATTACTTCATGAGCTCAATGTCCAAAAAGATACACAGATTACTAAATGCACACTAGTATTTAGTCCAAAAAGTGCTGAGCACGCAAAGACCAGCAATTGGTTGATAAATATTAACATATCATCTTGCAGCTATTCCAAATTTGACAAGAAACTTAAAAGAAAGTTAAAAATTAATACCTGGTATTGCACCAGGCAGGTTGATAGCTTGTCAGTCACATGCTTAAACAGCTGGCCTGGAGACATGAGAATCTGCTTTTTTTATGCTGAATTACTGCTCTAATATATGTGGAGGCAAAGTAATATTCAAAGCCTGAACAAAACATCAACTTAAGCCATGTTTCTTTTGCTGCTTAGTGCTACTTGGTGGTACACAGATAAAAACCAACTAGCAGCCACATAAATTTCATCTGTCCAACCCTCTGCAAACTGTATAGCAACACTGTAGCAGCTGGCATCTCCCTCCTTGCTTTCCACTGTCTTTGCGGTCAGAAGCAGCAGCATATCCCTGCACAGGGTTAAACTGCCTCCCAGTGTGGCAGGTCAAGAGCTGCCCTCGTGAACACCATTAGAGAGCCAGGACTGTGCTTTGCAGGGCGCTGATGGATCTGTACAAAACCTGTGCTGGAATAATACAAGCAGGCTTGATGCTGCTCTTCCATCACCTCCTCTGCCACAGGCAATTCACATGCAAGAAAATCAAGCTAACAGACCTGTATCTAAAGAGGGACAAATGTCCCCAGAGAATTCCAATCCACATCTCTCATCTCTCAGTTCTATGAAGCAAAGAGATGCAAAACATGGTGACTTAAAAAACCAAACAAATCCCAACCACAAAAAAGAAATACCTCATATTGATATAAAGCAGAACTTACTTGGTCTTTGTCTCTGTTGAAAACACTGCCCCTTTCTGTTTCACCACCTCTTATTTAATGCTGTGGAAAATAGATTACCAAGAACATTATCTGTGTGTTGGGACACGTCACCAAATAAATTACCACTACTTAAAATATCACTACCAAGACAACCTCAGGTGTGAAATGACCTACTGATCACATCATCTACTTAGATAAGGAAGTGCATTACAGCATCTATGATAGGCACACCCTCCCTAAACTCATTGCCAATCATGTAAAAGAAAAGTATTTATCTTCTCCCAATGCACTATGTTATACATTGTCAAAAATGCAACCACCAGTCTGAAGCTCCTAGTGGAGCACTTGCAGTTTTACTACACAAAAAGTGCAGATAAAGTGGTTCACAAGGCACACAGATCACTTGGATCCCCAGCAGCTGCTAAAGCACAACTACTGAATTAACTGTCCCTAACGTCCCTTCCAATCAATCACTGAGCAGCACTCTCCTCTGCTTCCCCAAAGTCAGAACGGTTGTATTTCCGCTTCTCCAAAGCCATTTCAGTCATTGCACTAGAAAGCCAAGTAAACACAGGAAAGAGTTATTAGAAGATCCCGCATGAGTGGATTCTGCACAAACTCATTTAACAAGGCTGCAATTCCTTCACTCACCATCTTAATCTCACAACAATTGAAACCCCGAGCAGACAAGTCAGTAAGGGAGCCCCAGGGGAAGGGCTTCCTCTGCATTTATCCAAATACCTAATGAAGTCATCAGTTCCAGGAGCCCCTTCCACCGTAGGGCTCATTTAGCCAAAACTGGTAAATAGATTTCTGAAGTTTGGGGCATTCTTAATCTGGGGAGATGTTTGCGTATTTTACAGGAGGGAAACTTCATCAGATTAACGTTGATAAAGAGAACAAAGACCCTGATTAAACACAATTCTTTATATCTAGCACTGAATAACTGAGTTTAATAATCACATTATGATCTCTTAACTCAGACAAAGAATGAGTAATTCACCTTTCACAAGCAAAAAATTCCTTCAAAGGAGCTTGGTTACAACCAAGCAACATCCTCAAATTGTTAAACCGTTGGCAAGATTAACAGGCTATGATAACAACAGCACTTGGAAAAGGTTTCATTTAACAAATTCTTTTATTACTTTTTTTTCAACATTTATTTAGATGCAAACAAACATATCTGGAATTTTAAGTCTCAGTGTGTGCACACACCCCAAATAAGGCCATCAAACACCCCCAGGGCAGAATCAGCTGCAGAATATTGCACCCAGGGGACTTGCCTTGTGTCCACTAATCCCCCTGAATCACTGCTTTCCACTCACAAACTACCAGCAGCTCCTCTTTGCACAAGATTTCTTTTCAAAACAGATTGAATTTCTATACATCATTATGCACAGCACCAGCACATGCTGATCCCGGTAACTATTCCCTCTTTATATTCCAGGTTCCAGCTGTTGTCTTTAAAGTTACTCTGAACAAGTCTCCCAGCATCAAGGAGTTTTGCTTCTCAGGTTACCAGGCTCACTAGAGAAGTCACAAGTGTTACTGGCTGAACAATGGCTCCAAGTTGTCATGCAAAAGCAATTTACTTGAGATATCTATTATCTTTTATAGTTGCTTCTACAGATTGACCAAAAACAGGAAGCCCAGCTCTCACATTCCACTGGAATTGTGTAACAGCAATAACAACCTCAAAGGCTAATTCAATGGCATTTGCTCAGATCTAGACCAGCAGCTCTCCTGAAAAGAAATCAGTGAGTCCAAGTGATGCCCTGCTCGTAGGTACAGATGCTCTTACAGAGCAAGCACATGCAGCCTGTCCCAAGGAAACACTCACTGGAGGTCGGTTCCCAGCCACATGTTTCACCACTATTTCTACTAAGAAAAACTCACAGCTGGAGCACACTCATGCCTGCAGAGATGTTACCTCTGAGAGCACTGGGACTTGATGTTATTCATTACAATACTTCCAGCCAGCATTAGGGTGCCCCAGCAAAGAAAGTTTGAAGCTTTAAGTCTTGAAAAATTCCCTGCTCTTCTCTTTCCCTTCCCAGGCTCCCAACAAGAAGCCATTGTTAGGGGGAGTAGGGTGACACTTCCTCTCCCAGTCCAAATTAGAGATGTATAAAAATAAACCCACACAGCTGTCCCACGACTTCACTTTATTTCACCCCGCTTCAATTAGATGAGAAGTCGTTCCCATTTCCTCACACTCCCTGCTTTGGGAACACCACCCTGCACAAAAGATAAAAACGAAATACAAACCGAACCCCTTTTCAGCGCCGCTCTGCGGGAACCCACAGCGGGAAGCGGCACCTCCCCGCCCCTCGCCCGGGTTCTGCTCCTACCAACTCGCACAAAGCCCCAAGCCCGCCGCTCGCCCGGGCTTCATCCCGGCGCCGAGCCGCGGCCGCGGGCAGCGCATCCCCCGGGCCGGGCCCGCCCGGCTCAGCCCGGGGCTGAAGTTTTCCAGGGGATGAATCAGACAAGTGCCTTTTCATCGCCGCGGGGAGCCGGCAGCGGCGGCAGAAGCGCGCCCGGCGGACACGTCCCCGCGTGCTTCCCGCACCGACCGCGCCGGGCTCCGCGCCCGCCCCGCTGCCCCGGGACCCCCCGGGGGACACGCCTGGTCGGCAGCGGAGCCGGGCGGCAGCGAGGGCCGGGCCGGGCCCGCCGGAGCCACCGGGGCCGCTCGGCGCCCCGCCGCTGCCAGCACCGCCGGGATGCTCCGTGCGAGCCGGCGCACGACCAGCGGCGGGGCGAGCGCCCGCAACTTTCCCCGAGTTGTATCGGCGCTGGAGAAGCCCCGGGAGCACTCACCCTCCGTGCCGCTCCGAGCCGTCCCGCCGCGCCAGCCCCGCCCGCTGCCCGCGCTCGGCGCGCCCCGGCCCCGCCGCCCCGGCCCCATTGGGCCGCCCGCCCGCACATCACGGTGCCCCGCGCTGCGAGTGGGCGGACAACGAGTCACTCAGGGCAGGGCAGAGCTCAGCCTACAGCCAGGGCACGCCCCGTCCTCTGCCGCCGTCGGGCTGCTCCGCCGTGCCTTCCCCCGCTGTGCTCCCTGCCTTCGTCGCTCTTGTCCTGCTTGTATTCGTCCTCATGCTCTGCCTGTATCCCCAGTCCCGCGCATGCCTCACTCCTGCCCGGCAAGCATCCCTTATTCTTCTCCTGTGTGCAATTCTCCTCCAAGCAGGCATCCTTTCTTCTCTGCAGGCATCCCTGCCCTCTGTGCTCAGACGGACTGTGTCCTGTCTCCCGTGCACACGCAGCCCTGGCTGCCTCAGCCCTGCCACGCAGACAGAGGAGCTCTGGGCTTCCCTTGCAAATTCCCCTTGTCTCCCCAGGAACAGCCCTGCGGGGTGATGCTGAGGATGTCCAGGGAAAGCTGGCACTGGTGGGCATATTGGGCGAGGAGCTCTCCACAGAGCAGAGCCAGGCGCAGGCACAGAGCCTGGCTCCCACGAGCAGTAAGTGCAGTGCAGGTGCCCTGTACCCTGCTATCCCTTGTACCCTGCTATCCCTTGCACCTGTTATTCTGTGCTCCTGGACAGAGAGCATTGCCATGGCCTTTCCTCCCGCAGCCTCTAGCTGTCCAATTTGGGATAGGTGACCTCATAACTGTCCTAATTTCTACATTTGTTACACAGCTATTCACACCGAAAATTGTTAGAAGGGTTCAGGAAATCAAGGGCCTTAGGGACGCTTTTGCGTAAAAGTGGTGGAGAACAGAAGTTAATCCAAATAGGCCTTGAACAGAGAAAGAAAAAGCAAACACCTGCTGTGGGAAGAAGGAGGTGAACAGAGAGAAGGAGATGAGGCCAGAAAAAGGGGAAGTTGTTTCCCCAAATGGGAAGCTTCACACTCTTAGCCGATACTGACATGTCCACCAGGACCAGGAGAAAACATGGGTTCAGGTAGTAATGTCTTCTTCTGATTTTAGGAGAAAAGCAAATATGCATTCAGGCACAAAAAACCCTTTTCAGGCCAGAAAGATGAGACATTCCCATGCCTGGAGGTGAGAATAGCACAAAGTAATAAATTCATATCACAATCAGGAACACTAATGGAAGGTGCTGGCTGTTGTAATGTAAAAGCACATCTCCTATTTTGCTGTTTAACTATTTTCCACCAGTGTCAGAAAAACTAAACTTGCCAAAAGGTGACAGTTACCTAACAGACTATTAATAGATAAAGCACACACCAGCATTAGATCATTCTTTCTCTTCTCTTTCAAACTTAAATGTAGGGCATATTTAGCTGGAAGTGCCCAGTGAAATTAATTGCAATGAGTACTTAGTTCTCTGTGTTGGCAATGTCACAGGTGCACATCTCTGGATCTGAATCACATAGTCTTATGTTATGAATTTTCATATGAATTATTTACAGAAAGGCTGTCAGTCTGATCATCATAACTTAAGGTTAAACACATTTTGTTGTCAAAACTGCCGGGAAATTCGTTTTGCAGTGTTTTTCCAAAGCTACAAAATAACACGGTCTCATAAAGTTGTCCCACATGATAGAAGTGATGTGGCTCACAGTGGGAGTTTCCTCATCACATTAGCAGGAGCAGCTTCCTGAGAAGAATCAGACTGTCTTCCCATCATCCTTTTATTCTTTTTATACAGTTGGATTTCTCATTGGATATCGGAAATTCTTGCATATTCAT